GCTATTTTTTGGTTGCAGCCGTCATTGTTGTTTGGCGGGTCCGGGCTGGGGATTCGAACCCGCCACCTTAGGTGTACGTGGCTGGCGGCTTAGCCGGTTGAGCTATAGGCGCCGAGCCAAGACGTTTAAATCTAATGTTACAATCCAGCTCTCAGGAACACTGGCTGGTGGGCAGGTCTTGGCTATGCTGTAGGTTACAACGTCCAGACTACAGTAGCTGATAGCTCTAGCCACAGGTGGCCCTGTGTCCTGTTTATTTCCTAGGGCTATTTCAGTGCTGAGATACTCAGCATTTAAGTGGAAGTCTGACAGCCCCTTGAGGGACAGAGAAAAGCACCAAGCTAGGAGGCCAAATTCCTGGCTCTGCTACTTCATAACCTTCAGACTTTCAGCAAGTAATGTAGGATCTTAGTACTAAAATATTATGTATTTTGTTAAGTACATACTAAGTATATTAAGGATTTACTGTTTACTATTATGTATGTTAAGTACTTGCCAAGTACAATAAGTGTGTTATTTACTAAGTTGAAATACTAAAATTCACCAAGATATTGAGACTTGGTATCTCTAGGTATTCAAAGGGGGCAATGTGCACTGCTTACAAAAAGCCACATTACTTTGGTTAATCCTTGACTTTCAGACAGAGGGGTCTGGTAATTTTCCCAGAAGTCCATAGCAGGGAGTAGCTTCTCTCAAGCCTAATTCACACATTCAGGGTTTCCTCTGCTTTCTGCCATAGGAGCAGGGGAGAAGGGAGGGAAGTGAATGAGATAATACATATTTAGCGGACTGCTGAAGGTTGCATAAACAGAAGGCATTTTGTCCAGAAAGGAAGTTTTTCTGGTTCATGGAGAGGGGAACACAGAGACAGCTAGATCATGAGAGTATACTGCTCACATTCCCAAGGGGAAAGATTTTTGAAATGTCAAGCAAAAAGAAAGGCTTTGCTTTTCTAATTCTGCTAGACTCCTCTCCTACTGAGGCTGATACGGCCGCTAGATTAGGGAGGAGGCATGGACCCCTCTGCTCCCCAGCACCTAGAATAACTAGTACTATTCCAACACCTTTGCTTTAGTTTTTTGTTTGTTTGTTTCTATTTATTTATTTATTGTGATAAAATCTCAGTTTTTCACCCTCAGTAGAGTGCTATGACATCATAGCTTACAGCAACTTCAAACTCTTGGGCTCACGAAATTCTCTTGCCTCAGCCTCCTGAGTAGCTCAGACTACAGGCACCAGCCACAACACCCGGCTATTTTTAGAGACAGGGTCTTGCTCTGGCTCAGGCTGGTCTCCAACCTGTGAGCTCAGGCCATCCACCCGCCTTGGTCTCCCAGAGTGCTGGGATTACAGGCGTGAGCCACCATGCCCAGCCTTTCACTTTGGTTTTAAAATAATAATAAAAAAAATTAATGTATAGGAAACTACAGAGGACACATTTTAGAAATTGTCACTTTTATAGGGCAGCACCTGTGGCTCAAAGGGTAGGGCACCAGTCCCATATGCCAGAGGTGGCAGGTTCAAACCCAGCCCTGGCCAAAAACGGCAAACCTCCCCCCCAAAAAAAGAAATTGTCACTTTTTAAACTTAATCTTTTTGTAAATTTTTTCTACAGTTCTCGAAACTAAGGAGTATTCTGCCCCTTACTGGTTTCTCTGGCAGCTTGAAAAAAAAAAAAAGCTACCAAATACAATGACTAGAATCTGCAACGCAAAGGGAAAGCGGATTCAGAGGTTTCACGTACCTGTGACGCACTGTCTTGTTCTCTTGGACAGTCCGAGATTGCCAGCATTCTGAGTGAGTCTTCCCCTACAAACAATGGAGACACACATCTAGAGTGAGACACCGCAGGAAAGGTACCTTGGTAAAGAAATCCTGAGCATCTAGGAAAACATGAGGTCCCCTTTAAAATGAAAATTTACAGACTGCCTTGGACATCATCCCTGTCGGTCCACAGAGATTCTGCAGGCAAGGCAATTAACACGCTTCTCAAACACGAGATCAAATTGTCTCGTTGCCAAAGGGAAAAACACACCAAGTAGTGCTATCATTCTGTACTCCTCCACATGGCCAGGCTGAATTTCGTAGTATTTGTGAGATATTGATTAATAAAGCCCTTAGGTCAGGATGATTTACTGATTGAGAAATACTTTACTCCTTGGGAGGAGGAAGGGGCATTGTCGAGATCTCAACTAATGTGTACGATGTGAGGGTGTTCAGCACGCCCTGGGTGAAGGGCTCAACTACAACTTGAACATTACCTTAGAAATGAAAA